ATTTATTCATTAATTCATTGATATCTTTGTATACTTACTTATCCATTTAGCCATTTATTTATTTATTCGTTTTTTGTGTGTTATCGCTTCTTATTTTTCATTCTTGATTCGATTTATTTCTTATCTTCACACTCACTCTTACACTCTCAACACGCTCAAGATCAATAATTAATATTCACAAAAAAAAATTGAAATAAAAAATCATTCTTTGATTATATATTTTTTTTTTGAATCTTATCAAGATGAATGAAGTCATTGGGCTTCTAGGATGCACAATAAAAATACAAACCTCGCAGTAAAAGCACGAACTTTGCGTATGTCGAAGTCAATATAAAAATAGAATGAAAATTATTATTTTTTTTGAATCTTTTCAAGATGAACGAAGTCAGTGGGCTTCTAGGATGCACAATAAAAATACAAACCTCGCATTGAAAGCACGAACTTTGCGTATGTCGAAGCCAATATAAAAATAGAATGAAAATAATAAATTTATATATTTCATCAGCTCAGTAACTGAATTCGTCAACAATAAGTGAGTATAAGTGAAGGAGGAAAAAGCAGATTTCAGAATTCAATAGAATGCAATGGAATCCATTAGGATTCAATGGATTCGATTAGGATCCATTGAGATCCATCAGGATCCACTGACATTAGTTAACATAAATTATGTTCTTAAGAATTTATAACAACAACAGACACTAACCAGTAGGTGTGTGACAGCTCCAGCTCAGCAAACTGAGCTGGAGCTGCTTTCGTAGGCCCTCAACAGCTACCCCATGGGATACTCGTAGGTCATCAAGGGCTATCCTATGAGGTATTCATAGGTCCTCAATGCCTATCCTATCGGGCACCCATAGGTTCTCAAGACCTGTACTATGGCGATACCCATAATATAGGCCTTGAGGACTTATGGATACCTCCATAGTATAGCACTTGAGAACCTATTGATACTTTCATAAGATAGACATTGAGAACCTATAGGTACCGCCATAGAATAGGCGTTGGGGACTTATGAGTATCCCCATAGAATAGCCCTTGAGGACCTGTAGTGATCCTCTCGACTTTCAAGGGCCTGAACTGGTGAATAGTTCCAGCTCGCATGAGCTGGGGCTGTCCACAAGCTCTTCGATTCAGCTCTCACGAGCTGTGGAACTGGAGTTGTCACACATCTAATTATCATATATGTTGTATTTATTAGAGAAGAGTATAGATGTATTCAAGAGAAATAGTATAATTATAACAGATAATGGTGATTTCTGTCACGATTAAGAACGGTGAAGTAAGAAATAAAAAGGAAGCGCATTAAGAATTATTGGGTTATTCTCAATCAAAACCTTAGTCTGTTTTTACTTCTCTCAACATCAACTCTGATCGAATCACGTGTCATTTACTGATGAATTAGGATGTAGGTGTGGGTGTGGATCTTCAAGTTCTGGATCATCTCTCGACCCACACTTACACCCACACCCTGGTGATAATTTACTTGGTCTTTCCCACTCTTATTGTCAAAATAAAATTTGAATTTTATATATTATATATGATTCTGATTACCTAACATGTTTTAGTTTTGTGATGTACAACAATAAACTTTTTAAAAACTTTCTACAAGGTGCTAATAATTCAGGAAATCTGTCTTTCGAAGAAGATAATAATGAGAATAAACAATAACAGAAACTATTGAAAAATAAAATTGCTTAACTACATCAGCTCTTAATCGACATCTGTGCGAGCCAAGCAAGAGAAATTGGAAGTTAATACGGTCTCAGAAATACTTGGGAACATTTATTAGGATCCAGTGGGATTCATCGGAATCTGGTAGGATCCATATGATCCATCGGGATCCAATAGGATCCACAGAATCCGGGGATCTGGGATGCGCTTTTCTCCCTTGAGCTAAACTGAGTATCTCAAATATTAATTTTTGTTATTTGGAGTCGGGGGAAAGAGAAAGGAGAAGCTTATAGGAATACGATGAAAAACAACGTTGTAAGCGACTGTGTACGACTGTTTACGGTGATGGTATACACGCTATATTTCGCCGTATACGGCATGACGAGGTATCGAAATACTTTTTAATACTAGATTTTTTCGAAAATAATGTTTAATGATACTTTTACCAGTGATAAAAAGTACTTTGATATTTATTTATTACAAAGGATTATTTTTTAGTAAAAAAGTAACTTTTTTAAGAGAAAAGCCACTTTTTGACAGAAAAATTACTAAAACAGATTCACTTATTATTGTTTTTTGTGGTCATTTTTTTACTATTTATGGTAATAAAAAGTTCGTTTTTGGCTACTTTTTCCCTACATGAGCAGTAGACACCCAAAAGTCAAAAAAAAATGAAGAAGTGCAGAGAATTACTTTATTGTCTTTGCCACTTGTTTCGATGACTTGAAAGAGTCGATCATTTAATATATGGATATGTTTTTCAGTAAATAACCAATAAGCTGATTGTTTACGTATATATTTCTGAACACCATGCATTTTCACGTTGAAATAAGAGTCTTCTTGGCATAGCTGGTCAATTCGGAGCAATATGAAAAAGTTAGGGTGATCATGAGAATACGGACAATTAACAAGAAGTGCCGATAAGTACATAGAAGTAGAGAAAAGTACCGAAAATATATCAAGAATAGAGCCTGACTGTTGACTTTTCCGTAGTATCCAAGGTCTTCTACATAGACTCAATGCATCAGCTGAAAGATAAACATGATAAGGTTCTGGTCTGTATATGAGGGTAGCATGATGTAGTCAGCGTTTGAGGTGGTATAGATTTATTCAAATCTTTTCAACTGGAGATAATATGAGCAAGAAAAGAAAAAGACTCGCAAAAAATGGAGAAAATTACCTTATATATATATCTAGGGGACAAATCAAAAATGAGGAAACAGATGACCAATGGCTAGGAAAGAAAAAAATCAGTTAACGTCAACCTAGTGTCATCTGTTGACGCTAACACTGACACTATGATTTTGTCGTGACTGACATTTTTCAAAGTCCAATTATGAAGAAAACTTTTCAAATTGTTCAAGAATATTTTTTTTAGCTTCCCTGTTGCCATAAGAGAGTACTCAGTAAATTTTTCGTGTAACTTGGCAGAAAAAGTCGCTTCGTAACTATTCAGTCACAGCCAGTTACGATAAATCAAATCGAAACAATCATAGAGCGATTTTCTGAGTCAAATTACATAGAAAATCTGCGTTTGATACACCGTTAACAAATGTGTATTCTTAAACAATTTTGACGATTGTTCTCATAACTGGAGTCTGAAAATATTCAGTCACGTCAAAGCCACAATGTTGGGCTCTAATCAAGAAGTACATAAGTCTGCTTTTCCACCTTTGAAACAACTAATGTAAATGGCTATCGCTTACCTACTGTTAATGCATGTCGGATGCAAGATGGTAGTCCAAACATAGCGCAGTAAGTGTGAAACACTAATAAAGAACGATGAATTATAAGAAGAGGATGGAATTTCGACCTACAGATTTTTTGTCCCAACCCGAAATTCCGAATTTTTTGGCTAGTTGTAGAGACAGACCATATGTGTCAAACTTGAAACTTGAATTCAGGTATTCAATTATTGAATTAGTAAAGATACCCAGGAAGCGGTGCCGCAGCGTGAGGGTGCTTAGGGTACCCTTGATTGAAAGGGTCCTGGATGGTATAATTGAATACTTGAATAGCTGAATACATGAATTCAAGATTCAAGTTTGATAATACTGAGTCAGAGAGAGTTTTTGAATCGAGCCTCAATTAAACTAATTAATTTTGTTATTATTTAACAAAGCTCATGGTGCTTACCACTATGCATTTTTAATGAAAGATCATTTTCAGCAAGACGATATGAGGCTTACGAGGAAACTATCCGAGATGTAACCTCTCGTTTTAATCCATTCATATCTCATTAGATCAAGTATATTGCGGTAGTAAAAACCTTAAAAGAATTCCTCCCCATGGCTTTGTCTTCAAAGTTTATATAGTCATTTTCTGTTTTTCTGCTATATATGATCCAGAAGATTGAAAATGCATAGTGTTGAACATCATGTCGCCTTGTCGAGCACTACGTTCTTATGCAAGTACATGGTGTTCAGCACTATAAAGTTTATTAATTAGTAATAAAATTAATCAATTAGATTAAGAAAGTCTGGGACGAAGAATCCGTGAGCCGAAACTCATGTAACCCCTATAAGAATTTATTTTTGAGATTTAGTAAATTTTGTCAAGTGACGGATTGATCTATTAATAACATATGGTATGTTTTAACTGTATTCAAAAATAGTCATAGTTATTAAGAATCGGCTCTAATCCTCAGCTTACTCTTTGCATTAAGTGTTGTTCTCAGTATCCCCTTAGCTATTAGCTGCCGTGTGCCAAATCCATTTGATTTTATGATAAAATGTAGAACAGAATTCCTAAGACAATCTCAAAAGATCTTAAAAATACATTTCAGATAACGGGTGCGAAAGACATTCATTTTTTGCACTGGTTCTGTCGTAGACTTCGTTTATATACATATGTTTGTCACAGTCTATAGTGAACGAAAAGAAGTGTTACTAAAATGTCTACCAAGGTCTGTATCAAACGAGATTTGTAAAAATGTTTGTTATGATCCGTACTGGAATGAGAAATGACTATTGTTAAAGTATCTATTCTAATCTGTTATATTTTCATGGTAATATCTATCACAGTCTTTGCTGGAGGACAGGATGGAGTCCGAGTTTTTACTTGTATATTCCAATATCTCTATTAGATTATGTCTCATAAAACATTTGTTACAGTTTACCAACTTAATTTGTAACCCAAACTTTTTAGTACGGTTTTTATGTAAATAATGTTTGGTGAGAAATTTATGAAAATCTTTAAAAATGACAAAAGACATTATATTATATTAAGATTATCACAGCATTCTTCAATATAAATTATTAAACAGATCGAAAATAATTACAAGACAATGATTTTGTTTTTATATGTTTCAGATTTGATATTTTGATGAAATGATCATTTTATTTCTATTAATATTAATCCGAACAAATCTCATCGATAGTGATCACTTTAATGGTGGTACTATAAATTGGGCACCAACATATCGTAATTCTACTTCTTCATCAATTCTGATTACTATTACACAATCTTATTCGTGGACTTATCCAACTATAAGTTGTTTGACAAATGTACCTACCTCAACTAATTGGATTTTATATCCCAGTGTTAGTTTAACTTGTATTGCTAATTGTTCCACCCAAGGTGGCTATTCTAGTAATCCAATTAATATTTTAACTGATTGTACTTCATACAGTACATCATTGGGAGTTTTAGCAAGTCAACGATCTGTTAATATTACACTCAATGAAGGTACATATTTTTGGATTGCGTATCAAGGTACATCTTGGAGAACTTTGGCGAATGCTGCGACAAGTTTTTTTCCTGGATGGTCAATTGTATCTTTGATTAATCTTCAAAGACGTCCCGATGGTTTAATTAACACTCCATTAGTATCACAGGTAGCTTCTCCTCAATATGTTATTGTCAACAGAACAGCTACAATCAAAATACCTGTGACAAATGTTGACATAGGTGATGATATACGCTGTCGATGGTCCTCAAAAAGCAGGTACCGTACACAAAGATGAATTAATAACTTTCACATCTTCTGTCTTAATCAAACATATAAAAATTCTATAAACGATATGATAGTCGCGTGATTTACAGAAAAGATGAGTGTTGAATGGATGTTATAGAAATGAAAATATCATCCACGTCTCTTTTAAGACAATTTTCATGAGAATACCGAGGATCACTTCAGTATACGAAGCACTGTTCAAAAATTCAATTTTTGAACAGCGCCTCGATTTCTTGGTCTCCCCGCGAATGCTCTCTTAACAACAAACAAAATTCTTCAAATAGAGAAAAATATACATTTCTTGTCATTATCGCGTCTGCTAAAAATCTTATAACACAGATTGAGTTTCCCTTAAAACATGGTTTTATATTCTTAAACTTATCTGATGTTAAATTACTTTTAATAAACATAAACAAATCTCATTATATTATATATGTTCTACTTTTTTCTCTACTAAGTTGTCTTTTTGAAAATAATAAACATGATTATATACTTAAAGCATATTGAATTTATAGATATATATCAATAACTATGTAAACACTTACAAGAACGTTTTAAGAAATGATAACAATCCTAATTATCCGAATAAGTTTTAGCTATAGGTAGTATGATAAAGAACGAAAAGCATTGAAAATTAGACAGGAAAAGAATATAAATAGATTTGAAATTTGTCTTAATACCCAGGTTCACCAATCCTACGAGCGGAAGCGATCGAATCAGATAAGATCCCATCAAATTCCTTCCAAATCCTATCAGTTCCGATCGAAATTTCCAAGATCCAATAGCATCCTATCGAATTTCTGTTGGAAACCGTGTTACGGATTGACATTGGAATCCAGAAGTGGCAGCCGACAATGTTCTATGGCACTAAATCGAGCAGATCTCACTCTCGGCAACCGACGATATCCTACTCTAGAATACTAATCGGAACCATTATTGTGAAACGACAGAATCCTACACTTTCCAACAAGATTCAACGAAATGAAACTTCGTCTTTGAACCATTTCAAATAAAATAATATCAAATGGACTGATATCCTACACTTTTCGACAAGATCCAACGGAGATGAAATTATGTCCTCAGAGAATTCGATTTGAGCTCGTATGGAATAAATAATGAAAGGGACACTGATTATTTTTGATATAAGTATCAATTGTAAACACCAACATTGAAAAGGATCCTGTAATTTTCATCAGATTATTTATTCTCGTAATAAATAGACTTAATCTACAAATGCTTCTATGAAAGCATAACGCGACATGAAGAAAATAACTGTCGCGTGACGATCTCTGATCGGGAGGTCACAAGATTTATATCAAATTTCAACTGCAGAAGCTTACGCAAAGTTATGTTTGAAGTCTGTTAGAGTTTAGACAGCAGATTTTTTCACAGGAACCGAAGCTCATTACAAATTTTATAGGAATTCGACGGGCGAAATATGTATCGGTTCTCACAGTCGGATAGGATTGAAATTTCTATAGGGTTCGATCGTCGGATCTGTTAACGATTTCGCAACACAGAATTCCGTCGAATTATGTCGGATCGCATAAGATTCGATCGGATCCGTTCTTGGATTGGTGAATTTGAGTATATTTTTCTTTCGTAAATAGTGCATATGGTGTTGATGAATGTGCTGATATTTGTACTTCTACGAGCACGATTAGTCTTGCAAATTTGTCTGGTTGTACATTAACATTTACAGCAACAACATCTAATGTTTGGTATGCAATTGCTCTACAGGTAAACAATATATTAATATTATAGTTATTTTGATGTTTTTCAGTTTAAATCAATATATCTCTCACAATATAATTTTTCTTGAGATATTCTTAGTTGAATTTTGGTTTTAATGGAAAAGTAAAGCATGCTGCATTAAAAATTGTTAGGATTTGTCTTATTATAATCAAAAATTAGTGATAAAAGTAGTTGTTTTGTATTTTTAGTATTAGTTCATTGATAAAAATAGTTATTTAACTGAAATATACAAAATTCTATTTTTCACAGGTCGAAGATTTTATTAATACAACAAGTACTAAGCCAATGAGTTCAGTAGCAATACAATTCTTAATTTATGTATTAGCAACACCCACCTGTACACAAGCACCTGTTATTCTTCCTTTAACCGATTGTTTAGAGATTCAAGTCAATGTAGCAGTAAATTTTACTCTTTATGCGATGAATTATTGTAATAGAACAAAAGTAATTATTACTGATCTAATATCAACAGTTAGTATTACTGGCTTGTCGGCCAGTAATTTGGTTAATTCAACAACAAATACATCGTTAGTCTATGTTACATTTACTTGGACACCTCAAATAAATCAGATTGGATCGCAACAATTTTGTACACTTGCTTATACAAGGTAAACACTATTCTCTTATATTTTAAAATATTATAGAACATTTTTTTTAAATCTATAGTGAAAGTGTACAATCTGATCCGTATTGTGTGACATTCACTGTTGGAATATCACAACCTTGCACAACAACTACTTCTACAAGTACAACAAGTACAATAACCACATCAGAAACTACAACGACTAGTACGACAGGAACAACGACTACCAGCAAGACAACTAGCACAACATCAGAAACTACAACGACTAGTACAACAGAAACAACGACAACTAGCACAACATCAAAAACTACAACGACTACTACAACGGAAACAACGACAACTAGCACAACATCAGAAACTACAACGACTACTACAACAGAAACAACGTCAACTAGCACAACATCAAAAACTACAACAACTACTACAACAGAAACAACGACAACTAGCACAACATCAAAAACTACAACTACTGGTACAACAGAAACGACGATAACTACCAGCATGACAACTAGCACAACATCTGTAACTACAACATCAACAACAATCACAACAACTACCACAGTGACTACTACAACGGAGACAACAACTACTACTACTTCAGTAACGTAAGTAACAAAATTACAGTCCTGTAGCTAGGCAAAAACTATTCAGATAAAGGTTGTTTGTCTTGAAACTTTTACCATAACAAGAACTTAATGTGCCTTAATCGCAGGTAGAAATTGAAGTCCTATTCCCTTACCAATGTTGGGCGAGGGCCTCTTCAATTGTTAAATTACTTTCGAGTCGAGAGTATGTGCATCATTTATGCTCTTATGAGATATAAATCTCCTCAAAAGAGTTCGAACCACCACCACCTTATTGCTACTGAGATATTGCATTTTTACAGTATTTTTAAGCAGAAAGCCGAGATCCCTCTCATGAACACCAAAAAAGCTAAATCTTTTGGTTGGTCCTATCCTATGATATAGATACGGCAAAAACACAATTGCACACTGCTCATATACACCGACAGGTTCCGATGTTCTTATTTCAGATAAGGAACAATCCAAAAATCTGAAAGTTTTCTAAGAAACTATTCTGATTAAGGTCTCTCTCTCTTTATGGAAAGTTTCAGTTAGAAATTCGAAACTCACCTTTCCTGGTGTTCATGAGAGCGATCACTGCTTTCTGCTTAAAATACTGTAAAAATGTAATATCTCAGTAGCAATAAGGTGGTGGTGGTTCGAACTCTTTTCAGGATATTTATATCTCATTAGAGCCTAAATGATGCACATACTCTCGACTCGAAAGTAATCTGACAATTGGAAAGACTCTCATCAGTATTGATAAGTGAATAGGACCTCGATTTCTACCTGCGATCAAGGCGCACTAAGTTCTTGTTATAGTAAAAGTTTCAAGACAAACAATCTTTATCTGAATAGTTTTTGCCTAGCTGTAGGACTTTTGTCCAGTATCGTCTTAGTTTATTCTTTTCCGTTAACTTATCAACAGAAAAAGTCTCAATATACACAGAAAAAGTTTGAATCAAATACTTTAGATGACGCTATAATTAGTATACATTGTGATGACTAGATATCGATCGAGATGAGTCAAGAGACTCATAACGTTTATAGAGTTTTTCCAAGCCATAAGTTCGGATTGAGACATAATCTCTCCGATCATGGAAAGTGCGATTTTCTTCTCTATTACAACTTACGAAAATGTCTCTCTCCTCTCTAGTAAATAACTTTTAATCTAACAGAATAAAAATCAATTTCTACGCTTTATTAATCAAGAAAACTAACTTCTAAAAGCCTAGTACCTACAGATATGATCAATTTAGAAATTATTAAGTATAAAACTTCTACGAACCACATAATAGATTTTTATCAAAAATCAAAGATTTATTGCGCTTTCGCTAAGAAATTCTTATCATCATCAGGAACAACAAAGAAAAAGAAAATACACTCTTTATATGGTTAATTAGTTTTCAATTCGAAGATTATAGGAAAAGGATTAAAAGAAGAATCTTATGAAAAATTTCTATAATATATATGTATTTAGAACTACAACTGAAACAACGACGATAACTCCTAGTAAGTTGAAATTACATATATTCTTCTATTTTATATTTATATACATATCGTATTATTTTTTAAGATTCCAATCAACCAAATTTACTATTAATTGTGGGTCTTCCAATTTTTGGTTTATTGTTGATTTTAGGTGGTACCTGCTTTTGGATATATTATCGAAAATGGTAATCATTAATATCTTTTTTTTTATACATAAAATTTTCTGAGAATGATCATTACCAGCTACTCGATATTTTCTTCTTATTTATTAACGATTTTTTCTGTTTAGGAGTACTGCGGCACAGCGTCGTCGACTGAATAAAATAAGAAAAGGCTTAGAACGAGAACTTTTTACATTATCCATTGAAGAAGAAATAAGAAAAATTCGACCAGCTGAAAGATCGAAGAATTACTCCTCATCTAATAGATTGAACACTCAAAGAAGTTCCAATAGTTTTCTGCTCAGTAGTTTAACAGAAACAATGCCAACATCAATAATTGACAATAAGAGAATAAACAATGATAATTTTGTTAAAATAAAGAAAAGTGCAAAATCATCTAAAGAAGACAATGAATCGATCAAATCATATCAACAACAAGATTCTAATGAAAATATATCCACTGTTGAAAATCAATCAAGATCCCAGCGTTCTTCTATTACTGTTTCTACAGTAAAAAAATCATCGAAAGTTTCAAAAATCATCGAGAATAATGAATCGAATAAATCATCAACATTTTATTACCAAAAGAACGAATTTGTTTCTCCATCACTAACTAAAATACATGTTGTTAAATTGCCAAGAAATAAAGTATCAGCATCATTCGAAACTGGTGTCAATACTCTTTTTCCCAATCAAAATTCGTCGACAGAAATAAATCGAAGTGTTCCTGGCAAAACAATTAATGTCCGCAGTGAAGAAGCCGGTCATATGAGCCGTACGAATACTAAAGTCGACAATGGTATGCGAAAAAGAGCATCAACCTTCGATGGAGTCACCGTTAGCAGAGTTAAAACAGCTCGTAACATCGATAAGTCATTTACGAAACATTCAATGAATATTATTCGACCAAATAGTGGTAATAAAGAAACCAGTAACCGAGTGGTGGTGGTTTCTGTGAAGAAACAACAGTTATAAGCTTGACAATATTCTTGAAATATGTTATTAAATGTATAATCTCGCATTCTTCTCAAACCACAACTGTCTACTTGTAATTAAACATTTCTATTATCGATTGTAGAGTGGGTATGGGTGTGGGGTGTGGGTGGGTGGGTGTGGGTGTATGTGGGTGGGTGTGGGTGTGTGGGCGGTGGTGGGAGTGTCGGTGTGGGTGTGGGTGGGGTGTGCATGCGGATCTATTCTTCAACACCCAAACCGGCATCCACACCCACACCCTGTTAGGATTTAAGCCGTATAAGATACGGTTAACACAACAGTTATACGACGGGGACAAAGACTTACGGGTCGAAATGGCTGAAATGTTACTACCAATTGTTACTGATCCCAACAATGACGGTCTAATCTATTTTTCAGATGAGGCAACATTTCACCTTTCAGGAATAGTTAATAAACACAATTGCCGCATTTGGAGTGAAAATAATCTTTTTGCTACCGTAGAAGTTGCAATGAATTCACCAAAACTTACTGTATGGTGTGCCATGTCTTCCACAGAAATTATGGGACTATTTTTCTTTGAAGAATCAACAATCGATCAAGAAAGTTATCTTGACATGCTCAAGACATTCTTTTATCCATTTTTACAGAAAAAGATCACGAGGAAAATTATTTTTCAACAAGACAGGGCCTTTATCCATTTCTCGAAGATAGTTCGTTGTTGGTTGGATGACAAGTTTGATAACTGATGGATAGGAAGAGGAGAGTCGATCTCTTGGGCTCCAAGATCGCCTGATATGACTCCTTTGGACTTTTTCCTCTGGAATTATATCAAAACAAACATATACAAAAATAATATAAAAGATCTTGATGATTTAAAGAACAGAATAACTCAAGAAATTCAAGAAATCAAAAAAGAAACGTTGAAAAATGTTTTCTTAGAAATTGAAAAAAGACTAAATTTTTCTATTTCAGTTCAAGATGTTACTTTTGAACAATACTTTTGAATTTTTTTTTTATGAATAAAAACTTGATGTATTTGTCTATCATTTAAAAAGAAAGTTGATATTGTCAAATGAAATAGTGGAGATAATCGAAAAACTTA